GATTATATAAGACAAAATTATTCTTTCTAATTCTTAAGCTTTCTTGATTCTGGAGTATACTAATCCCAGATCGAAAAGAGGGCTTAGAACCTTAATGTTCCAAACATCTCAAGTGAATTTCATAGTAAAGTTATAAATTATACATAACATTAAAAAAAATAAAAAAATGAGACAAGCCCTTGGAAGGAGAGATGAATTGGTCTTGCCCATTCTCCCTTCTAAAATTGGGAAGAAGGGGGCCATGTTTTTTATATGAAATGGGACTATGCTGTTATGGATTCGTTACCAACTCACATATCCCAGAGTTTATAGGGTTTGTGGTATTTAACCCTGAGGTATATCCTTGCAGTATTTATACCACACCGACCAACTTTTCAAACATTATTGATTTGTAGAAACATAGAATGTGACGGCAGATAAGAACCATTCGGCCCATCTAGTCTGCCAAATTTTCTTAATACTTTTATTCGTCCCTGGCTTTATCTTATAGCTAGGATAGCCTTATGCCATGCATGCTTAAACTCCCTCACTGTGTTAACCTGTACCACTTCAACTGGAAGGCTATTCCATGCATCCACTACCCTCTCAATAAAGTAATACTTCCTGATATTATTTTTAAACCTTTGACCCTCTAATTTAAGACTATGTCCTCTTGTTGTGGTAGTTTTTCTTCTTTTAAATATAGTCTCCTCCTTTACTGTGTTGATTCCCTTTATATATTTAAATGTTTCTATCATATCCCCCCTGTCTCGTCTTTCCTCCAAGCTATACATGTTAAGATCCTTTAACCTTTCCTGGTAAGTTTTATCCCGCAATCCATGAACCAGTTTAGTAGCCCTTCTCTGAACCCTCTCTAAGGTATCAATATCCTTCTGTAGATACGGTCTCCAGTACTGTGTACAATACCCCAAGTGAGGTCTCACCAGTGTTCTGTACAATGGCATGAGCTAATATCTCCCATTTGGAATGTTTCTTAAAATGAGGCCTTAGTTAAAAAACATGTTCCCCTTCTTAGCTCATAGACTGTTTCCCTCGATCCCTTGCTGTCTATCCAAGAATAAAATGGGTTAAAATCCGATTTATGAAACATTTTCCATATTAGCTGCATCTCTGAAATTTAGAAAATGTTTGGCAACGACCTCCGGAACAGAGGACATTCCTTTCTTGAAACCATAAACAATATGGAAACAAACAAACAGCTCTTTCCATGGATGCGTCGCGTGACACTCGTTCGATGTATCTTACTCTTGCCCAATCTTTGTTTTTGTTGTTTTATGAAGTTCTGCCTTAATTGAGATCTGATGGAAAACATTAAAATCATTTGTCTTGTTTTTATTGTTTTACGCACACATACAAAAATACAAATACGTATAATAATAATAAATAATGTATCTAAAAAACGATAAATATATGGAACATAAATATATATACCAATATATGTATATATAGAGAGAGAGATAATTAACTATGTGTTCCCCTCTCTCTCTGCTAAGAGTAGTTTGTTTAGTGCACGGTTCTCCTGCCATTCTCAATTATCCCCATCAACAAAAGATTTTAATTTATCTTATATTTGCAGTTTTTAAGAATATTGACACGTCTAGTCATGCTTAGACTTGAAGATTTGTTTCAGACCGACCCACAATTTGACCAAATTTGGGCTGTTCAGGTGTCTGACCAAATTCCCTAATTTCAAGCTGAAATGTACACAAATTATGGACAAACAGACTTTCACAAAGCCGAACATGTTCGCGGGGAGGGGAATCAATAATCTGAATTCCGTCCATGTCGACAAAAAAAAAAGATGATAATTGGCTAGGGGACACAAGGGAGTCTCTAAATGTCTAACATTTTCTATTACCTCTATTTATATATTATATATTTAATGAATAGATAATATATAACTATGTAAAATATAGTTTATTTTTATTACTACTCCCCCATCTTTTCCCTCTGTTGCTTACTTTTTATCACTTAATCTGTGAACCAAATGATATGATACTCTGTATATATTTTGAAGCAGACTAATTGGCCCATTTTTGTATATTTTGGTTTGTTTTCTCAATTCGGTTCACAGACAAAACCGACACATGGCCGAAATTTGGATGTGCCATAAAATTGTTCTGTCTTCAGAAAAAATGATATGGCAGAACCGAATTTTTTTTTGTCATGCACAAGTCTAGTTATCCTTATGCTTTATCAAGCCTGGAATTTATTTTACATTCGTAACAATAACATTAATAAAAAAAGAACTCACATTGGAGAACTGGTTATATCCATAATAAATCAGTTGACTTCAACAAACACTCAGACTTGGAAAATTGCCTGGAGTGTGCTCCAGAACTCTGCCTCGTTTGGCTGGAATGTCAGCCCAACTATGGTCTGGATTTTAGTTAAAGGGAAACTATGGTGCTAGAAAAACAAAGTAGTTTTCCTGGCACTTTAGCTCCATGTCTGCCCCCTCCCTCACGGCCCCCACCATGGTGCACATGGGGTCAAAAATCCCTTCTCTCACTTACCTGAGCCTCTGCTCCTCCTCCGCCAAAGTCAACCGGCGGGGGATACCTAATGTGTATGCACAGTGATCGCCCACGCTCGCATTAGAATTAATGTATAATACTTTCCTTAGGTGTCGCTGGACATCCTCATGCAGAGTGTGAGGATGTGCGGCGTTAGTTAGGCAACCAAAAGTCGCCTAAAGACCCGGAAGTCCCTCTAGTGGCTGTCTGGTAGAGGTGGAGTTAACCCACAAATGTATTTGTTATAGTTTATTAACAGCTGCAAGAATTACCTTTGCATGGTTAAGGGACCTGGGACACTCAATGAGCTGAAGTGAATCCTCTCTAAGGTATCAATATCCTTCTGAAGATACGGTCTCCAGTACTGCGTGCCTATAGTGTCCCTTTAAAATGCAAGGACATCCCTTTAAAACTTACTCACTGCTTAGTAAAGAAAGCCCTTGTTTATCAGTTAAATTAGGGGTAGTCAACATGGTCTCTACTGCCAGGTGGGCGGTGGTGGGTTCTGCAGAAAATGCTCAGTGGGCCTCAATGGCTGAGGACCAAGGCCGGCAGGGCAGATCTTTTCAACTCCCCTGCTGGCCCATACAGAGCCAACATTACTGTAAGCCCTCTCTGGCCGGGAGGGAAGGGAATAGGAGGCTCTGTGTTCCTCCCGTGAGCATGTTAGTTGGAGTGTTGCCATGATACAATGCTGTGCTCGCAGGAGGACAGGAAAGTCAGCCTGCAGCTGGAGGAGCACACATGCACAGCACCCTTCACATACGCACAGCACCCTTCACACACACACAGCAACCCTCACATACACAGCACTTCCCACACACGCAGCTCCCTTCACACACATGCAGCACCACTCACACACACTGCACCCCTTACACACACTTTACCTCTCACACACACTCACACAGCACCCTTCACACACAAACACACACAGCACCCTTCACACACACAGCACTTCACAGACACACATAGAAAAAAAAGTAGAATAGAAAATAGAAAAAAAGGAAAATTATAGATAAATGTAAGTACGTATTTAAAAAAAAAAAAACTCCTAAAAAAAATAATAAAATTTGTTCCTGCAGCACTGGTGGGCGGTAAGGAAATTTTACCATCAACAAAGGCACAAAAGTGGGCGGTATTAAATGGTTGACTACTACTGAGTTAAATGGTGCTTGCCCATTCCGCTGAAAAATGTTTTTAGTAGGAAAATCTGGCTTCACATCACTTACAGAGCAAATTTTACACAAACACACACAAAAACATTGCACCAGGGATAGTTATCCAAAAATGTTCTAAATGTATTAAATATAAATTATGCTATCTAATTCCTATTTTCCAATAAATGTATTTTGTATCTCCTGGGTCAAATGTCAGTGTTAGATGAAGATACTCAACTCTTTTAAAATTTTGTTTTTTTCCATCTTGCATAAACGGTTACTCCATGCACCATAACCACTTCAATTATTTGAAGTGGTTATGGTGCCTGAAGTCTGTATGAATGCAAACCACCAATACGTTCTTCTAAAGAGGTTGGAATAAAGCTGTAAAATCTATACAAAAACTATTAAACAAAAGTAAATCCAAATACCAAATATTCTAAATATCTTTGGTTTGGGATTCTGTACAAACAGGCAGCAGTCTCAACGTGTGTTTTTCCCATTTCTGCTTAAATTGTTTGCGGTCCTGTCCAGATATTGCATACTTGGCATTTCTGCAGCTGCTACAAGTACCTGTTACAAGTAACCTCTCTGAGGTTAATAGTAGTGAGAATTTTAATTAATTCTAAAGCACCTCTTGGAGCCCGTTCAACACTCCTGATATTTGTAAAATTCCCTCTTCTTATCCCCAAAAAATCTGTAGCAGTCTTATAGAAATATTTGAGATTATTTACTTAAAGGGATAATCTAAGCAACATAACTAATATCTTTTTCAGTATGTGATTTAATATCATTCAATCAAACATTTAATATCAATCCAGGGAATGGGACCAAGTAATTTTACACAATTTTACCAGTACAGTGGGAGTTGGATTAAGGCTAGAAAGATCTGGGACTGGGATAGACTGTGGGAGAGTTTCAGGATCACCAGCAAGGCCTGTGTGACCTGATTCCAGAATGGGTGTATGGAGCGGCATCTCCAACATATATGGTCAACAGTGCCTTTTTCCGATATGCACCTCACAGCATTGTAAAGAGGGAAAAAAGAAGTGTAGAAGGACAAATGGTGAATCTGGTGATTCTTCTACAGGAAAATTGCTGTTTGCTTATAGTGGAGGCCATTGTTTCAAAAATTATGCTCCAATCCTCCTGACAGAGCTTGAGATGTAGTGCGGTTTTCCAAGCTCATTGGTATGCTGGAGAGTGAGGCCTGGTGTCATGTTGGACTAGGTCATAAATCTTGTCTACCTTGTTTGGCAAATGCCCTCAAAGGAGGTCAGGTGTCTTGGTACCCGCTGAGATAGTACTGAGACTCTCAAGAAGTGCCTCAGCTGGGAGATGCCAAGAAATTATCACACTGGGAGTCCTTCAGTCCTAATGCTTTGTGTGTTCTGTCGGATTTAATTGGGGTGTCTTCGGGGTGGCCCAGCAGGATATTAAACAGAGACAGCAAAAGAGTGGAGAGGTCTGCCTTGGTGTTATCTGAGGGTTCAGGAAGGTCCTCGGTCCTCAAATTATTTCTCCACAAGCTATTATCTAGGTCATTTAATCTCCTGTGCACGTAATGTTTAGTGTCTTTGTGTCCTCTTGGTCTTGCAGGGGTTTGCAGGTGTGAGGTCGAAGACTCCCTCTCATCCTCCAGTATTTGTACTCTAGAGCCCAGGTGGTGGATATCCTTACCGAGGGTGAACATCTTGTCTCCAAAGCTGGATTCTATCATATCCAGCATAGTTGCAAGATCAGTCTTCGGGGGAAGCTGTATGAAGATGGAGCAAAGGTCCACTTCGTTGACAGAGGCCTTGGAGGCTGCAGGGCTCACTGGAGGACTCCCATATGCTGTGCAGCTGACACTATCTTGGCTGTGTCCAGCAGCCCCGATGGGTCATGGAATAATCGCCTCAGAGAGGATTTTTGGGCAGCAGGAGAGGTGGTAAAACATATCACAGAGAGCCACATTCATGTGACCATACTCCTTGCCAGTTCAGCCATGCCTCTCCCTTTGATATTTTTTCACTGTTATGTTGCTATTTCAACTCGGCCAATACAAATTATCAACAGCAATCAGTCATTCAAAGTTTTAATCTATTTAATCTATTTAATGTCGAATGGTTGATCTGTCCTACTGTGCTCTCTCACTTAAAGTCCCAAAAGTAAATCTACAGTAGCCATCCAGGTCAGTGTTCCTACCCTGTATTAGTAACCAATTATTGTAGTTTTCTTTCTCACCACCTGGGGGCACCACAGCTTTACATAAACCTATGGGAAAAAAGTAACCACTAATCTAATGCAACATTTATTAACCTTTTGTCACTTAAGTATCATTATTTAGAGAAATTCTGCTGGAACATGAATTGAAAATTCAATTTAAACTCCATATCATGGACCACCCAGATTGTCTATTTATTCTGCATGAGATGGACAGAAGCACTAAATTGTGCAATAACATTCTGGAGAGCGCTGTATATACAGTAGCTGAAGCAGTGATGACAAATTGCTACAGTTGTTTGCAAGCTACATTTCACATATTACAACGGCATTGTTTTAAATTCCTCCCAACAGTCCCAGATACATTTAGGAAGTCCTAATTTGTGATCCTGCCACAGATGAACATCCCATTTTTGTCTTTGGTATCCTGTACCTTATATTGCAGGGGAGAATTGTTTTTTGTCATTTATTGACTAGAACAAGAAATTGAACGAGGAGCAATAGATACGTTGGAAAGTAATTTACAGTTATTTTTAGGGTCAGATTTGTCAAAATTGGTGTCAATTCATCACAGTGATATGAGGCTTGAAAACGTCAACTCACGTAAAAAATTTTTTTTTTTAACAAATTCTCCACTATTATCCATTGTTGGTAATTTCTTTCTGAATTTTGCAGCTTCCTGGACAATTCCCAGTTCAGTGAATAACTTGTTTGTCTGTAGTTTTAAGTCAGCAAGACAACAGAATGATTAAATGTGCAGTGAGAACGGAACTCACAGATGATGATCACACTTCTGCTATTTTTACTAAGATTGAGAATAGAAAGCAAGGTCTGATGCGTTATCACCCCAGCTCTTTGAATCTCATTTTATTCAGCGCTTATTCATTAAACAATTAATTTGGGGGAGCAAGACATTTTTCTCGATTCATGGTGCATTGGAGATTTGTTTTTTTAACTCCGCCATTTGAAAAAATTTTTTGCAAATTGACTGCTATTTGTGTGTTTTTATAAACTCATCCATTTTATATTTTCACGCTGCAATCAGGAAATGTACTTATTAAGCCTCAAGGAATCAAACAGAGCGTGCAGTTTAATATAGTGTTTTGTATCACATTACATGCACATCATCGGAGCTGTGAGATCTCTGGCTAATTTTATTTTAGTTGATTATTTGAACAGGCTAGCCGCGCTAAACTGCGTCTCCTAGAAATGATATTAGATTAGTCTTGTAACATGCTAAGCGGAGACAATGTCTTTCATTTATTAGTTATCATATAAAAATCTATTTAAAAAGTAAACTCTCAGAAACTTTACAGAGGAGTCCAGATAGAGGAAAGTGTTTTCTTCTGCAATAAAAGTCACTGTCGGACGGGGTTTGGAGAGCTACATGGTAGATAACAATCAGTGTTACTTTTGTCGACTAACAATTTCAGCCTAATTTTAGTCAAGTAAAATTTTTGAGATTTAGTCGACTAAAACTAGACTTAAACTAAAATAATTCAGATGACTAAAATACGACTAAAATGGCTTTTTAGTCAAAAGACTATGACTAAAACTAACTTGAAATTTGCTGCCAAAATTAACACTGATAACAATATTAGGGAGAGAGGTAGACACCAAGGGAGAGGTATTGAGGCATGAAAGATGTAAGCGGGGAATGATGGTTATAGGGACGCTGTCACCGCCTGAGGACTTTTCCAATGGAGCAAAGTTGCCCTGATGGTGAAATCACTGCTGGTGGTCTGGAGGCCAGGAGGGCAAATAAAGATGAAATGACTTACCTGAACCTGTCCCTCGCGGACGCCAGCATCTTGTTCGCCCTGTTACTCTTCAACACCTGACGCTTCAAAAAAACCAGTCCCTACTTTGTCTTTGTATATCTCTTGACTAGGTGAAATTTTAACACAGCCCGAATGAGTATTTTATAAAAAATCTATTTTTTTGAGATACTGATTTTTATGGGGAGGGGGTGATAGTGCGGCAAAAGTGGGTGGCTGCTGGTGTAGGAGGTGAAAGTGAAGGTAAGAGATAGACACGAGAAGTACGGATTGAACAATCAGTACAGGAACTGTTTATAATCATCAATAGGATGGACTAAACACTCAGTACAGTAACTATTTATAAACATCGATAGAATGGACTAAACGCTCATTAGAGCAACTGTTTATAAACATCGATAGGATGGAGTAAATGCTCAGTACAGGAACTGTTTATAAACATCGATAGGACGGACTTAACACACAGTACAGGAACTGTTTATAAACATGGATAGGACGGGACTAAATGCTCACTACAGTAAGTGTTTATAAACATCGATAGGACGGAGTAAGCGCTTAGCACAGGAACTGTTTATAAACATCGATAGGACGGAGTAAATGCTCAGTACAGTAACTGTTTATAAACATCGATAGGACGGACCAAACGCTCAGTACATGAACTGTTTATAAACATTGATAGGACAGACTAAACGCTCAGTACATGAACTGTTTATAAACATTGATAGGACAGAGTAAACGCTCAGTACAGTAACTGTTTACAAACATCGATAGGACAGACTAAACGCGCAGTACAGGAACTGTTTACAAACATCGATAGGACAGACTAAACGCGCAGTACAGTAACTGTTTATAAACATCGATAGGACAGAGTAAGCGCTTAGTACAGTAAGTGTTTATAAACATCGATAGGACGGAGTAAGCGCTTAGTACAGTAAGTGTTTATAAACATCGATAGGACAGACTAAACGCTCAGTACCGTAACTGTTTATAAACATCGATAGGATGGACTAAACGCTCAGTACAGTAACTGTTTACAAACATCGATAGGACAGACTAAACACTCAGTACAGGAACTGTTTATAAATATTGATAGGACGGACTAAACACTGAGTATAGGAACTGTTTATAAACATCGATAGGACAGACTAAATACTCAGTACAGTAACTGTTTATAAACATCGATAGGACGGACTAAATACTCAGTACAGTAACTGTTTATAAACATCGATAGGATGAACTAAACACTCAGTACAGTAACGGTTTATAAACATCGATAGGACGGACTTAACACACAGTACAGGAACTGTTTATAAACATCGATAGGATGGGAATAAATGCTCAGTACAGTAAGTGTTTATAAACATCGATAGGATGGAGTAAGCGCTTAGTACAGGAACTGTTTATAAACATTGATAGGACGGACTAAACGCTCAGTACAGGAACGGTTTATAAACATCGATATGACGGAGTAAACACTCAGTACAGTAACTGTTTCTAAACATCGATATGACACTCAGTACAGGAATTGTTTATAAACATCGATAGGACGGACTAAACGCTCAGTACAGTAAGTGTCTATAAACATCGATAGGATGGACTAAACGCTCAGTATAGGAACTGTTTATAAATATTGATAGGACGGACTAAACACTGAGTATAGGAACTGTTTATAAACATTGATAGGTCGGACTAAATACTCAGTACAGTAACTGTTTATAAACATCGATAGGATGAACTAAACACACAGTACAGGAACTGTTTATAAACATCGATAGGACGGGACTAAACGCTCAGTACAGGAACTGTTTATAAACATCGATAGGACAGACTAAACTCTCAGTACAGTAACTGTATATAACATCGATAGATCGGACTAAACCCTCTATATAGGAACTGTTTATAAACATCAATAGGACTGACTAAACTCTCAGTACAGTAACTGTATATAACATCGATAGAGCGGACTAAACCCTCTATATAGGAACTGTTTATAAACATTGATAGGACTGACTAAACACTCAGTACAGTAACTGTATATAACATCGATAGATCGGACTAAACCCTCAGTATAAGAACTGTTTATAAACATCGATAGGACGGGACTAAACCCTCAGTATAGGAACTGTTTATAAACATCGATAGGACGGGACTAAACGCTCAGTACCGTAACTGTTTATAAACATCGATAGGACGGGACTAAATGTTCAGTACAGTAAGTGTTTATAAACATTGATAGGACGGAGTAAGCGCTTACTACAGGAACTGTTTATAAACATTGATAGGACGGAGTAAATGCTCAGTACAGTAACTGTTTATAAACATCGATAGGACGGGACTAAACGCTCAGTACCGTAAAAGTTGGAACAAATTCCCCCTCTCTTTCTCCATGGCAAATGTAGTTTTTTCAAATGATTGTTTTTTGAGAGAAATAAATCATGCCATCATCACAAATGTGTATGACATATGACAATAATATAATAATATATATATATATATATACACTATACAATTACATATTTAGAAAACACTGTTCTCTACATATATATTTTTACACTGGTATGATACAAGTGCACATATAAGCACATAATTATATTTAAAATTGCTCCCTCACTTTCAGGTTTCGTACTTTTAACCTTTTGCCACAAATAAATAAAAAACTGTTGGGTAAAATAATAAAGACAAAACAAATAAAATGAAAACAATCAACCCAGCAGTATGAACAAGAGAAACCAACAGATTTTATATATGTTATCCACACACTTAATCAATGCTCTATGATGAATATGGTACCTTCAGATTATTTAAACAAAGAAAGGGACACTAATTTTAGGACCTCTTTGTCCCTCCATTATATATCCACAAGGGGGAGCCCCTGGCCTCTGTTCCACACGTGCTGCTGTCAGCAGGACAGATATAGATTCAGGAGGGCACGAATTAGGAAATAGGAGTGAAGGTATTTAAGAACTTCCACCCTTCATGACCTTATGTTTAACCTTTTCCATGGAGCTCTAACATAGTATCAAAAGGAAACTATTTGTGACATATTAACTGATTTATTGCCAAACAAAGCAATGCACTGCAGAGACAGACTCATAACACAAACACAGTGTTTGGCAAACAAAAGATAATGCTTATAAATAAAACAATGTTTATTATATGGCATTGCCCTGTATTGGGGGAAATACCTCGTGCATGAACAGTTTATATAGCAGCTGCAAGAAATATATGCAGCCCAACAGCTGAAATGTATAAAATCTCCTCTCCCTCCCCCCCAAAAAGAAAGAAATAAAATTATGTTTAATGCATTTCATCTTCTCTGGCAATGAATGGGTTAAGTGCACCCCCCCTCCCCTCTCTACACCACCTCCTGTAATCAGCATATCCATTCACCAGACTACACTGCCTGCAGCTAGGATATATTTCTGTGGTGAGTCTGCCCCTTTAAGAGGAGGAGCTGCGGGGGTCATGAGGGGGCTGAAAGGAGGGGGGAGTGTGGGAATATTCTGCTTCATCTGAAGGATGCAATGCAAAGTCTTCTCACACAGAATCTGGGAGAGAGACAGAGAGGGTGAGCCTGCAGACTGTTGTCCTTCCCTCCCAGAGCAGTGAGGAGAGAGAACTTTGGGCTGTGAGGTTGGAACCTGTGAACCAGGAGGTGAAACATTGTATCTCTTAATTCCAAGATCCTTATCTCAACTTTCTAGGTATAGCAGACATGAGCTGCTGTGGAGCCCCAACAAGCATGGAGTGGGGGTCCTAGGAAATCAGAGACATGTGGCCAGTAGGTGATGTCCAGGAGTAAGGACCAACTGGCCACAGGTACCCCAGGAGGGAACAGCACCCCAATGCTTTATTTATTTATTACTGGTATTTATGAAGCACCAACATATTCAGATATCGTGTGCATTGGATTAATCATCCTGACAGCTATACCCCTGTGATGTTCTCAGTGAAGCGGGTGTAGCAGGAAGCTTCAGGACAAAGATGGACCTGCAGAGGCTTCCAAAGCTCTGAGATACAAGGCAGAGATACTCCTTGCTGGACCTGATCGGAGTTTGTAGCTCTGAGCTAAAGGTCAGAAGAACTTAACCCCCTGGAGTGAGGTCTATAGCCCTGAGATACAAGGCAGAGATACTACTTGCTGGACCCTGTGGACAGTGAGTTTGTCAGAGCCTCAGAACCAGGGGATACCTAGTAATGTGACTGGGGGTGTGCAGACGAGCATTGAGACACAAAGAAGTATCCCAGGATATGAACAGCTAAAGGAAGGGGGTGTTTCCATGTTTGGGAAGAATGAGGGCTGCTCTCACTCTGATTCCTTCGGTGGTGCTCCTTCTCATGGGGATATTATTGTGGGGATGGAAAGGAGCTAATCCCACAGCACATCCAGGGCACCTTTCTCACAGATCAACACGTGCATTGCTACCCACTGTGCCCACCCATCAGGCTCTGAGACAACTCAGAGCTCAAACCCCACCCGTGATGGAGGGACTTTCACATAAAGGAGCCTCTAAGGAAAATTCTAATCTCAGTGCACATGGTCTGTCAATGGGGACCTCTAGGACTAATGCACAGTATCATTCCACTAGGACTTCCTCTGGCCACCCTTTAGAAGAAGGTATTTTCTGGTCTTCGGCAGTGGAGCTGCCTCGGGGCTTCCCAGAGGAGAATGTCTTACACTGGCAGAATGGTGCCCGCACTGCCCGCATTATGTCACTCGAACGAGGATGTGGTCGCAGTACTAACCGCTTGGCCACTCTGTCAGATGGGAGTTGGGTGTGTGTGCGATATGGGATTAACTCCGAACAGATCAAGGGAGAGGTTCTGTCCTTCTACCTGTCTCGCTTGCTGGGTTTGGGTGGGGTGCCACCGTGTGTGCTCTCTAGGGTGGGCAGCACACAGTGGAATCCAGTACAAGCAGAGGTGGTAAGCACAGGATGGGATCCTGGATCTATTGTTAGTTTAACCAATTGGGTCCAAAACCTGAGTGCAGTTCTACCTCCCCGAGCCCTACGAGCTGAAGATGGTCAGCTGCGCCCATTGCAAGATGAATTACGCTCAGGTGATGTGGACATGGTGGAGCTAGCGCAATGGGCAGACCTTATACTGTTTGACTACCTGACTGCAAACTTTGACCGCTTGGTAAGCAATATGTTTAGCTTACAATGGGACCCACGTGTCATGCTAAGAGGAACCAATAATTTACACCGTACACCAGACGGGACATTGATACTGCTGGATAACGAAGCTGGACTGGTCCATGGCTACCGGCTTCGGGACACATGGGATAAATACAATGAACAGCTGCTTGAGACTGTGTGTTTGTTCCGCAGGGGCGTGGCACACAAGCTGAAGGAGTTCCACACAGAGCAGAATGTTGCTCAAGAACTACATACATTGTATATGCACTCTGAACCCTTGGCTGAGGAGCTTGGCCTTTTGTCTGAGGCAGAGGCTCAAATATTGCAGGAGAGAGTGGGACTTTTGTATAGCCACATACTAAGCTGTCAGGACAGGTACAGCTGAAAAACAGGATGTGGGACTTAGCAGTCAGCCAGTAGTGGTCAGTGGGGCTACTGTCAGGCTAGATACAGCTTGGGTGAATGGGCACTTCTGGTATGAATTTAGATGAGGAATGGGAAGTGGTTGGTAGAACAAAGAGGTTTTGACTGTGCCTATTTAGACATGTACATTGTTAGGAAATGTACACACAGTGGGAACATTGCTGAAGCACTTATAGCTGTTGAGGAACACTTCTGAGATAGGTGCGGGCAGTGAGAGTAGACCCAGGCTAGACATAGCTGGTAGAGAACAAAACTAGGTTGAGACCAGCTAGTGGAAAATGCTAACGAGACAGCTGATGGGGAACAATCACAGAAATAGAACTGACTGGGAACAATAGGTCAGTTGGGTTTGGTGGAGTTATTCAGGAGCAATGCTTGGACACCTGGTGGAAACTATTGTTACATTTAGTGGGAAGACCTCCTTGGAATGTTGTGGTTTTGGTGTTGTGCAATGCCACGTTAGATACAGTATTAAGATTGGTATACCTCATGAGTAATGGCATCAGCTTAGGCATTGCTGGGGGGTAGACAATGCAGCTGGGGGACAGTAACCAATAGCACAGTGTTGCCAGTGGAGAGGTAGGTAGATAGGTGGGTATGTATTTGCAACGCGCATTAGCACTAGGAGCTTTTTCACTGACAATTGCAAACAGATAAAACCAGCACCGATTGGCTCTACTGAGCTTATGTCCCACCTTGGGCATGGGGTGTGACACTCTGTCCCCAATATTAATATTCTGGGCAGTAAAATTCTTAAGTTGGCTGATTGTGATGCTGGAGAACAAAAGATAACCTTCATGTGGTGTCTGGCCCATAGAATGACTTTATACCCCAATGCTCTGGCTAATGCTTTGCCATAGGGGGTTTATTTATTAAACAGTCAGTTGTAGTGAATTGAAAACTGAATTTTAAAATTAAGGCCAAAGTAGTTGATCTGGAAAAAAAAATATCCAATTTCTTTATAGCCATAGTTTGGCTATATTAGCCTGAATTTTGTAGTTTAGTTATCACTGTTTAGTGAATAAGCCTTTGTGTAATACTCAGGGAGATTTCTACAGAAAAGCTGGCAAAAGGCATCACAGTCTATTTCAGCATGAAAGACTTGAATATATTATACTAAACGTCTACCTTCCAAACTACTCCCTTTATTTGCACATATTCTGGTCTTGTCTGGAGGATTTGCAGATAATCCGCCTTAAATTCAGACGTATTTATAGTCACTGCTTTTATGTGGGAACATTTTAAACTTTACAAGAAGGCTTGGGACCTGCACCATATAAGCTAATCACTGACAACAAACCCTATCATCCTTGGATGACGGGACTTGATGCCCAATGTGAAGTATGATAATAATTAAGGAATGTATTAAAATGCCATATTGTAGTACATTACCATCCAAATAAATTACATTTAAAAAAATAGCCAAGCTTTGTGACAAATTTGTCGAATTTTTCAGTCAGCTATTTTTGCAAGTCAGATTTCAATTCACTACAATCTAGGTGTGTATTATTATTATTTATAAAGCGCCAACACATTCCGAAGCGCTGTACAATATGTGACAAAGTTACTAAGGAGTGAACATTTAACAAGCTAAATTGCTGTCAAATTTAAAAGGTTTTATAACTATCTCCAACTTAAAATCAGATGTTTTATCTTAGTAAAATATTCTTGACTTTTCACTTCTTAGTAAATATCTCCCTAGATGGTTGTGCACCTTTAAGACACTCCCTGATGTACCATTTTGGGTCTGTTTACCTAATAAAACTGTGCAATTCTATGATAGTAAGCTGAATAACAAAATGCAGGAATAACAGCAGCATAAAGGATTGTTTTAGTTTTTATGTATGTATATATTTGGTCCTCAGATGTTGCACATAAATTTATTTACGGCGTATATGTATTAATTCCAAGACAGGACCAAAACTGCATCCTTCGTGATGTGACTTTACAAGAAGGCTTGGGACCTGCACCATATAAGCTAATCACTGACAACAAACCCTATCATCCTTGGATGACGGGACTTGATGCCCAATGTGAAGTATGATAATAATTAAGGAATGTATTAAAATGCCATATTGTAGTACATTACCATCCAAATAAATTACATTTAAAAAAATAGCCAAGCTTTGTGACAAATTTGTCGAATTTTTCAGTCAGCTATTTTTGCAAGTCAGATTTCAATTCACTACAATCTAGGTGTGTATTATTATTATTTATAAAGCGCCAACACATTCCGAAGCGCTGTACAATATGTGACAAAGTTACTAAGGAGTGAACATTTAACAAGCTAAATTGCTGTCAAATTTAAAAGGTTTTATAACTATCTCCAACTTAAAATCAGATGTTTTATCTTAGTAAAATATTCTTGACTTTTCACTTCTTAGTAAATATCTCCCTAGATGGTTGTGCACCTTTAAGACACTCCCTGATGTACCATTTTGGGTCTGTTTACCTAATAAAACTGTGCAATTCTATGATAGTAAGCTGAATAACAAAATGCAGGAATAACAGCAGCATAAAGGATTGTTTTAGTTTTTATGTATGTATATATTTGGTCCTCAGATGTTGCACATAAATTTATTTACGGCGTATATGTATTAATTCCAAGACAGGACCAAAACTGCATCCTTCGTGATGTGACCAAAACTTTATTTGCAATGGAATCTAAAATGAAGTGACATTTTTATGATTTTATCATAAACAGTAAAATGTAGTAAGTTGACCTCTGACTTTATTTAGACCAAAATAATCAATTTGGGTGGAATTAAATGTCTGATCTACTGGGGCCTTTTCACTAAATTGTGAATTCCAGTGAACTAAAAACCAAATTTTAAAATATGGAAAAAAGTCTTTAGCTCATCTATAGTCGTAGCATGGCTATTTTGTCAAGAATGTGTTTAAAATGTGGTTTTTAATTCACTGCATGATGTGAGTAAAACTCCTTTAAGATTTTTTTTTTTACTAAATAGAGGATTGTGATGAGTTGAAAACCAAATTACAAACCAGAATAGCTCAACTGAAACTGAACTTGAATTAATTTTTTTTTTTTCAACTTGTCTGTTTTTACCTACATTTTGAAATTCACTTTGTATTCCAAACAATTTCGCAAAAATCTTGTCAGTGTTCAGTTGAAAGAGAAAGGTTGGAATAAAGTACACTGTTAAGACTCTCCACTTATTTGAAACATTTCTAAAAAAAATTTGTGTCTCAAAATACACGATTTCTGTACATGTAAAAATTATGTCAGCTCAAACTTCAATTACTTTTCTGTCTCAAATCTAATTTCTAAACTGCAATGGAATATCTCAAATCTAATTTCTCAACTGCCATAATTAAGGAAAATACTGCATTTATTAAAAAAAAATTATTATGGTTCGACTTCAACCACTTTTATCTGACTCAGAGATCGATTACGATGGTGTGCAAAATCTGGCACTAAAACTGCCTTGGATTACAGCTCCTATCATGCGCAGCAAGCCAATTACAATGAAGCAGGGTTGGCCATTCCTGGATATTAGGAACCGATTTTGTTGTCTGAAGTAATACCTTCAAAAATGTGAGGGCCCATCCAGAAAAGGGGTGCTTGTCCACAGAATGGTTGTCAGTCTGGCGTCTATGCATTCCAGGATGATGGTTTAAGCGCTCTTTGCGTGAAATAGCATGAACATTTCTAATAATGGGAATAGTTCCCTGGTGTCCCCAGATGTAGGGCACCAGTGAACTAACTCGAGATGGTGGGGCAGGACCCAGAAATAGGGACTGTACCGCCCAAATCGGGACAGCTGGGAGGCTTGTGAAGTGCATTGTGTGACTCGTAGTCTATAACATCTTGATATTATGATTTGCAGAAGGGATGATTTACAAATCATGTACGTAAACGTGTTTATTCTCTGACAGATGTTTTTTTTTACTAGTCCCAAACCGCACAGCTATTATCACTTTCTTCTCTATGTGATTTAGTGGCAAGATTATTTTAAGAGCAGCTTATCTTCTTGTCTTTTCCCCAAACAAGCAGGGTCCGCATGAAGAATGGTTAGGAGAAACGCTAAGGGGATTATTCACTAAATGGCAAGTTAGGATGAATTCCAAAGATGTTTTTTTTTTTTTTTCAACTTGCCTATTGCGACTTAAATTTTCAAGCTGGTGTTACCTCAGTATGAGTCATTTAGCGAATACGCCGTTAAACATCTGTTCTTATATAAATTTAGATTTTTGTTAAATCTGAGTACATATATCTGGCACTGAAATAGTTAAAATATGTTTCTAGCACATTTTTAGAATGTATTAGTGATCTTAAATCCTTGAGTGTAGGCAGCCATTTTGTCTCTTTAAGACACTCCTATTCGTCTTTTCCAGGGTAAGCACAACATGGAGTTTTCGCCTGATGATATTCCTTGTTCAATTGACCTAATTGATCCCCTTGTTACTAGGCGATATTGGGATACACCATTGTGTCAGCTAAATGTTGTTCATCAGCAACTGCTACTTACATGCAACAAAGTAAGGATAGAGTGATTAGAGAGATTCTGTCTGGTGTTTTCTATACAGAAATGAAAAACTCATTCACATGGAGAGTTTAATACCCATATTATAACAGTCAAAAGCATATCATTTTATACGAATGTGTAGTCACAAGGAGCTGTAAATTACAGTACAAAGCCCACGTCTAAGTGTAAATAAATGGGTATTATTTACGCTTACTTTTAACGCTGAATTTCTATTTTTCTTACTTAGCAATAATACCAACAATTCAGGCCGTTGGATATACATGCTCATATTTTTGTGCCAGTGAATGTGATTTTTTTTTTCTTTTAAAGTGGCACTGTCACGCCAAACTTACCTTTTCCCCAATCGCTGCTTCTTCTCTTCCTCTCTCAGAATCTCTTCCTATCTGATCTAGTTTTCTTTCAAACAAAGGTAGGCACTTCTTTGGACATAATAAATACCGCAATGTTTAGGTGATATACCCCCAATTAGAAACATCAATGTGTAAGTGCAGCACTTGCAAGGGACTTACCCTATGTACACAGGGCCGGATTAACGTAGGAGCTGATGGAGCTGCAGCTCCAGGCCCATGGAATAGGCCCATTTTAAAAAAAGAAAAAAAATTATATTTTGTTTACTTTTTTTTTTTCTTTTTTTTTTTTACACACTTCTCTTAGGTTTGCCATCTGACTGGTATTTTAAGGCACAGCCGGTATTTGAGGCTGCCTGGCCTGTGATGGTATTGCAGTAATACTGGCAATACAAATATTTTTCTCAGTATAAATGAAGATTACTCTGCAATACCACTGTGTACAAAGAGAGGCAGGGATAGGAAGTTACAGTATATCCCTCCCTGCCTCTCTCGCACGGGAGCAGCTACACAGCACAGAGAGTTCAGACTGCAGCTCCCAGCCTGCAGAGACAGACTACAGCTCAGGAAAGTGAGGGATGAGGGGAAAGGCAGCAGGTAGACATGGGGACACTGAGACACTAGGGGACACATGGTGACACTGAGACACAAGGGCACACTGTGAGACGTGGGGACACTGTGAGACATGGGGACACTGAGACACTAGGGGACACTGTGAAACATGGGGACACTGAAACACATGGGGACGCTGTGAGACATAGGTAGACATGTTGGAACATGGAGACACTAGGAACACAGTGTCTCCATGTCTCCCAGTGTCCCCATGTCTTCCAGCCAGTGTCCCTAGTGTCTCAGTGTCCCCATGGTTCCCAGTGTCCCCTAGTCTCCCAGTGTCCCCACGTCTCACAGTGTACCCAAATGTCTGTGTCCCCATGTCTACCAGTGTCCACATGTCTCCCAGCCAGTGTCTCAGTGTCCCCATGTCTCCCAGTGTCCCTATGTCTCCCAGCCAGTGCCCCTAGTGTCTCAGTGTCCCCATGTCTCCCAATGTCTGTGTCCCCATGTCTCTGTGTCCCTGTGTCTCCCAGCCAGTGTCCCTAGTGTCTCAGTGTCCCCATGTCTCCCAATGTCTGTGTCCCCATGTCTCCCAGTGTCCCCAAATGTCTGTGTCCCCATGTCTATGTCCACAAGTGCCCCCATGTCTCCCAGTGTCCCCAAGTGTCTGTGTCCCATGCCTCCCAGCCAGTGTCCCTAGTGTCTCAGTGTTCCCATGTCTCCCAGTGTCCCCATGTCTCCCAGTGTCTGTGTTCCCATGTCTCTCAGTGTCCCCAGTATCTTAGTTTCCCCAAATGTCTGTGTCCCCATGTCTATGTCCACAAGTGCCCCCATGTCTCCCAGTGTCCCCAAGTGTCTGTGTCCCATGCCTCCCAGCCAGTGTCCCTAGTGTCTCAGTGTTCCCATGTCTCCCAGTGTCCCCATGTCTCCCAGTGTCTGTGTTCCCATGTCTCTCAGTGTCCCCAGTATCTTAGTTTCCCCAAATGTCTGTGTCCCCATGTCTCTGTGTCCCTAGTGTCTGTGACCCCATTTCTCCCAGTGTCCCCAAATGTCTCAATGTCCCCATGTCTCCCAGTGTCTCCATGTTTCTCAGTGTCCCAATGTCTGTATCCACAAGTGCCCTCATGTCTCCAAGTGTCCCCAAGTGTCTCAGTGTCCCCATGTCTCTGAGTGTCCCCATGTCTCTCAGTGTCTCCTAGTATCCTAGTGACACGGGACACAGTGAGCCATGAGGACACTGGGAGAAATGGGGACAGAGACACTGGGGGACTAGGTGACATGGGGACACTGACACTGTGATACATAGGGACACTGATGCCAGGCTGGCCTTCCAATTCTTTGGACAGACATACCCCCTTTTGGGGCATGTTCGCTCCTTTTGGCAGTTCTGGTCACATGATTCGCATCAGTGGCCTACTCTTTTACCCTGCCCATTGGCTTCCTGCTTCACTGGACACTGCTGTTAGGGGGTATGGATTTACTTGAAAGATGAAAGCATACATTAGATAAAGAGATTAGCATTGCGTATGTGTTTTCCTATAGCTGCGTCCTTTGAGTTTCCCTCCAACACCAACTCCATCAGATACATGATGCTTGAGAGGTATGACTGTTTTAGTGTTTTTGGTCGATAAGATTCTGTAATTAGGCCCCATCATAATTGTCAGCACCAGGCCCACTGGGCTCATAATCTGGCCCTGTACAAAAAAAATAGTGCAACAGAGTAAACACTAAAAAGTGGTATATAAGTGTATAGTAGATATATGCTCACAGTGTTTAGAGCCTTTTGAACAATATGGCTCTGAACGTACACACATATGTGCCTTTCTGGCGGCAACTTAACCTCTTCTCTGGGTCAAAGTCCTCCAATGCAATACATAAAAGACATAAAGGGAGCACACAATGGTGAAGGTACCTCTGAAAAAGTGCTTAGATACTACACTGGTGTGTTAGTATTGCTCACTTTTTTGGAGCCCATGAAATACTAGATATATCACCTAAACATTGTGGTATTTTTTGTCAAAATATATGTCAGTGGGTCTTATTGGGAGTTCCCACAGAGTGCTACAGCTGCTAAAACTTAACATTGTGTCACCTAAGTTATAATAAGCGCCATTAAATATACACTTGCCATATTTATTCTTTCTACCATTTGTACGTGTTTGTCTTATGTATTTTTCCTACGCTTAACTTTCTTTGACTAAAGGGGGAGCTTAAGTAAGCTCCATCTCCTGTGTCAAAAAAAGTTTTACCACAACACTCACCCCTCCTCCCTGATCTTGCGTTGCTTCATTCACCATGCTCAATAGGGCACCAGCGACAGGGCTGCCATCAGAAATTTTGGGACCCCTGACACAGCCCAAAGTCTGGGGCCCACCCCTAAGCCCGCATCTGTGCCTGCCAACATGGCCCACCCCCAAGGCCCACCCCCGAGTCCCCCCACATGGACCATCCTAAGTCCACCCACAAGGATGAAGTGTGGGTGCACTGAATTTGGTGTACGTATAGTGGATGTAGAAGGTGTGTAGTGGATGCAAAGTGCTTGAGTAAAGTGTATGTGGTGTGTATGTTGTGAATTCAATGTTTATAGTGGATGCAGATTGTATGTTTGTGCTTATTAGATGCAGAGTGTGTTTGTGTTTTGGGTTAAGTGCATGTTTGTGTAGTGGATGTAGTGTGTATAGTGAATGCAGAGTGTGTGTTTCTATAGTGGATGTATTGTGTGTGTATAGTGAATGCAGAGTGTGTATTTGTGTAGTGGATGTAGAGTGTGTATAGTGAATGCAGAATGTGTGTTTGTGTAGCAGATGTAGTGTTTGTGTGTATAGTGAATGCAGAGTGTGTATAATGAATGCAGATTATGTGTTTGTGTAGTGGATGTAGTGTGTGTATATAGTGACTGCAGAGTGTGCATTGGATGTAGTGTGTTTAGTGAATGCAGAGTGTGTGTTGTGTAGTGGATGTTGTGTGTAGATAGAGCACCGCAATTGTGGAACGACCTCCCGCACAATTTAAAATCTTCCCTAAGCCTAAAGTCCTTTAAGAGATCCCTCTCTACATACCTCAAAACAGAATGCACGTGTCATGGTTGATTATATATTTCCTGCCTGTTCTATGTTAAATTTTGTATTTATTGTGTATTAATATTGGTTTTGTACTTTATTGTACCCTAATGTAACAATGCAATGATTTGTGGACCCAGGACATACTTGAAAACGAGACAAATCTCAATGAATCTTTCCTGGTAAAATATTTTATAAATAAATAATATAGTGACTGCAGAGTGTGTAGTGGATGTAGTGTGTGTATACTGAATGTAGAGTGTATGTTTGTATTAGATGCAGTGTCTATAGTTACTGCAGAGTGTGTGTTTGTGTGTATTAGATGCAGTGTGTATAGTGACTGCAGTGTACAGTGACTGCAACGTGTGTGTTTGTGTGGTGGATGCAGTGTGTATAGTGAATGTGGTGTATGTGTTTGTGTAGCGAAAGCAGTTTGTGTAGTCGATGCTGTGTGTGTTTGTGTGGTGAATGCAGTTTGTGTAGATGATGCTGTGTGTGTGTGTGTGTGTGTGTGTTGAATGTGTCTTTATAGTTGACAAATGCAGTGAGGGTTTTTTTTTTTCTTTTAATTTTGATTAATTTAAAAAAAGAAAATGTATATTCATTTTATTAATTTAAAATAAAAAATATTCCCCCCTCACTGCCTCTTACCTGTAGACAGGGAGGGGGGACACTAGGTTCCCAGGTGGTCCAGTTGGAGGCACAGCAGTTGGTTCAGTCTTCTTCTTTACCCTCAGGGCTCTACTTCTGTCACGAGCCCGGCATGCTTTGCGTGCCGAGGAGCGTTGCCGTGGAAACCCGAACCACCGCTTTACAGCCGCTCGCGAGAGTGCCGGAGCAGGAGGTGAGTGTGAAACCAGCAGGGCCCACAGAGGCATATTTATATAGCGCTACTCGCTATATATATATATATGCACATTGAAGGGCCCGGATATGCAGAGCATTAGCAATGCAGTCCGGGCCCCTCAGGACCGCCGGGCCCATGACGTCCATCATGGTTGTCACCCCCTGATGGCGGCCCTGACCAGCGAAATGATCGAATTTCGTCCTAACAGAATGTGGACAGTTTGTCCATTTTTGTTATGACAAAATTCTGGCATTTTACATAAATTTTAAAATTTCCAATCCGATCAGTGCCGCAGCTGCATCTTGCAGCCTTATAGTAGATAGCCCCCTAATTCCTACAAAGGTTACTAAAGACCAATATTGGTGTTTCAGCCAACTTTATTAATAGTAAGTAGAAATTAGTAGGAACTCAGTAGCAAACACAGTGCTGGGAAGTTCACACCGATTCTGGCTGAACACTGTATCTCTCCGTAAATGAAGATTTAGGCACTGCTGGGTGTGGGCAGCCATGATGTCCTGCTGAGTTCAGCTGAGTTCACACAAGTTGCAAGCAAGTCAACTCTAACTAGTTTTTAAGTTGCTATCTGGCCGACAAAGCATCTTGGGAGATGTAGTTTATCCACATCTGGAGAGTTACCTTAGTTAGTGCGTGAGTACGTTAGTTTAGATTCCATGTTACATAAAATCAACAGAAGGAAATAGTTTCTACTTTGTAACCCAACTTTTTAAAGAGTTAATGTAAACCACAGTGTGTATGTATGGGGAAGGGGGTGGGGGGCATTCCCAGCTGAGAAAACTGTCCTTAAATATGCATTGAATGTCAGCGCTATAAATCTGTGTTTATTGTGGGAACTTTCCCTGACAGTCAGAAGACTTACCGTATATCATGTCAGTGCCAGTGTCTGTTAAAAGGTTAAAAACTAAAATCAATTAAAAGTATACATTTATTTAGTCAGTGTGTGTGTATATATATATATGTATATATAAATGAAAATACAGGATGCACTATTTCCAGGTCTTTCAATTGTACGATGTGATTTATTAAGTACATACAGCAAAAAATGGACGTTTCGACCCTACCGGGTCTTTTTCAAGATCACTGAATGTAAGAAAATCGTGCATTTATATATCAAATACAAAATAGAACTTACCAGTCAATGTACTGTCGTCCCGCTGACCGTTCCCACCCAGAAGTGCAATGAGACCGCATGTGACGTCAAGGCGTATCGACGGAGTTAATTGTGGTTACCCAGGTTACCAGATAACAAACATGTATACTAGCGTGATATCTATAAAGTGAATAAGCAGAGCAAAAATGAGGTAGGATCAATACTAGGAGAGTGATCAATGGTCTAATGGGATATCGGTACATAAATATTAATCTTATATACTATAGAATGGCCAGAGAATGTGTAGGTAATAAAAATGGGAAAAAAACAATCAGAACGTGTGAAATCAAGTGATAAAGCAAATGTGAAAAAAATAGTGGTGTCCAACGTTTTCCCTTTAGGTCAAATAGATTGTATAATTAACAATATACAAAATAGTTCTTTGCAAGAATACAGGAGTTTCGAAAATATTAACTAGCAAAGTATATTAATCAACATCTATGGTTGTTAGATTTATCAAAGATTTGGATAAACTGAAAGGATGATCTAGAGCCAGGCATAGGCAACCTTCGGCACTCCAGATGTTTTGGACTACACTTCCCATAATGCTTTTCCGGCATTGTGGATGTAATAGCATTATGGGGGATGTAGTCCACAACTTCTGGAGTGCCGAAGGTTGCCTATCCCTGATTCTAGACTAAAAATATAGCATGTTTTTTTGTTTTTGTTTTTTGGTAATAAATGCTTATCAGATATAAAATTATTAATATATCCATAAGTGATTGGGGTTTGAAAAAGAACAAAGAAAGCGAAACTGATAATGATTAGAAATAGGGAAGGAAAGAGAGAGAAAAAGAAGAGAGAGGCGAGGAAAGGAAAAGTGAAGCAGAAGAAAGAGAGGGGAAGGCAAAAGGGAAGAACGAAAAAACAATATAAAGAAAGAAAAGTGAATAATTACTAGGAAAATGTAGTGGGAGAAGATTGTAATGTGGGAAAGGGAAAAGACAAAAGATAAGTAGAAATAAGAGATGGAAATTAAAAGACAAGTGATAACACCTTAGTCAAAGGCCCCTACCATATATATATATATATATATATATTACTTAATTACTAAGCATTTGTCTTTTGTACTGTTTTATGTTTTTAAGGACTTTGAATTTATAAGAGAAATATAATAAAGAGATAAAAACAGATAGAGAAATAATATTTGATGATAAAGGTATATTCATAAATAAATAATAAATCATATACCATAATGATATATTTGCCAAAATAAAAAAAAAGGAATAATCAACACAAAACAATATAAACATAAGAAGATTTGTTTTAATTGGCTGATAACATCACATGTTTGTTGGAACTTTGTGTTTTTTATTAGTAACTGTCATTGCTGGTCCAAAAATGATGATGCGGTTCCAAAATGGCCTCCTCCATGCTGGAAAACAAGTGTCATTTATTATAATATTTACCAAGCTTGGTACGATAAAAACTGCATGAATCTGTTTGGATTCTTGCTATAAACTGATTTATAGTGATTTTCTACCAGAGCCGCAGGCTTCCCGACATTGACTGCTGCAGCCACCTCTTAGAATGGCCCAAATGATTGTGCCCCAGGCATCGGTTGCCAGCCTTTCCATTCGGCAAGTGTGCTCGGGCTACAGAAAAAAATTTCAAAACAGGAGCTCAACACAAAACAGATTAGTTTGATGCACTTTATCTTTTATTTGTTTTTTGAGACGTACATTTTATGCGTTAAAAAATGATTTGAATTACGTGTTTTGTTTCCAGACATTCTACTTTAAGATAAAGAATGAAAGTGTTGAGAGTTTAATTTAGATAATGGTTTTTTTTGTTTTTTTTTTAATCTTTTTTTTTTGGGGTTGTCTAATAAATTTTTTGCCACAGATGCTTATTCTCTAAATGGAAACATGAGGTAAACTGAAAGCCGAAATGTGTTTTTTTAGCTAAATATAGAAAAACATGTCAGTTGAAACTATTCCACTATTAAAGAAAACTGGTCCTATTTGTTATTGTTCTTTAAAATAAAATATGGCATCATAGCATCTGCGTGTCTTATTTTGTAATGCATGCTTAGGAGCAAATATATCTTGCTTTGCAATGCTTTATGGGGTATCCACCTTTAGGTCCTCACAAGTACATACTTTTATCTAGGTATGCAATAGGGATGGGTGAGCGAGCCATCGGGGCGACGCATTGCCTGTGACACAACTTGTATTATCGGTGTCATCCATAATGGACTGGCCCACCGGGGGAGATGGCATTCCGTCCATGGAAGGGGCATGTCCGTATGGCATCAAGCACACCAGGCTGACTAATGGAATCTCTGGCTTGCCCCCAATATACTGCTGCTACAGCTCTCTCTGCATGGTCCTAGTGCCAATGCGTCTCATGATTCTCTTGTGCTGTCCTGTCTGGGGGCAGTTCTCTGGTTTCTCTGGATGCAGGACACCAATGAATATAATCAGGATAGTGGGATTGGACCCCAGGGACTGTACCACCAAAATCGGGACAGTTGGCAGCTCTGCAGGTAATTAAGAGCTAGTTTGAATCCTGACATCATGTGCAAGAATAGTGGATATTTTAAAATGCATTCTGAGATGTTTTCTGACCTCCAAATTATGTAAATTGTACCTTAGCAAGTAAGTGGTATTTTCAACCAAAAGGTATTCATTTGTATGTATTCATTGCAAAATAATAAATGGCAAGGCTATATTACAGTAATTTTCTTTAAGTGAATCTAGCCATAGAATTATGTTCACTAATCATTCATTTACATGTGTCCTTGTGTGAATATGTAGAAAGCTCTGCACTATTCTTTCCACAAGCGCACTTGACCATGGGGTGCAGAGTCCGGATGACCAGCAGGAAGGGGCTCATTGTACAGCACTCCCCCTCCTGCCAGTCACTGCATGTATCATGGTCGAGCTGACCATTGTAGAGGATCCTCTACTCGATCTGTCACGAAGTGCTCACTGAGAGCAATGAACAGCTTTCTGGAGCTACAAAGAAATACACAGAAGGGATGGAGGGGGAAGAGATACACAACGAGCTGGAGAGGGAAGAGATACACAGAGGGACTGGAGGAGTAAAGAGATACACAGAGGGGCTGGAAGGGGAAGAGATACACAGAGGGGCTGGAGGAGTAAATAGATACACAAAGGGGCTGGAGGAGGAAAGAGATACACAGAGGGGCTGGAAGGGGAAGAGATACACAGAGGGGCTGGAGGAGGAAATAGATACACAAAGGGGCTGGAGGAGGAAAGAGATACACAGAGGGGCTAGAAGGGGAAGAGATACACAGATGGGCTAGAGGAGGGAAGAGATACACAGAGGGGCTGAAGGTGAAGAGATACACAGAGGGGCTAGAAAGGGAAGAGATGCACAGAGGGGTTAGAGGGGGAAGAGATACATATTGGGGCTGGAGGAGGGAAGAGATACACAGAGGGGCTAGAAGGGGAAGAGATACACAGAGGGGCTAGAGGAGGGAAGAGATACACAGAGGGGCTGGAGGAGGAAAGAGATACGCTGAGGGGCTGGAGAAGGAAAAAGATACACAGAGGGATTGGAGGGGGGGGAGATACACAGAGGGGTTAGAGGGGGAAGAGATACGCTGAGGGGCTGGAGGAGGGAAGAGATACACAGAGGGGCTAGAAGGGGAAGAGATACACAGAGGGGCTAGAGGAGGGAAGAGATACGCTGAGGGGCTGGAGGAGGGAAAAGATACACAGAGGGGCTAGAAGAAGAGATACACAGAGGGACTGGAGGGGGGAAGAGATACACAGAGGGGCTAGAAGAAGAGATACACAGAGAGCCTGGAGGAAGAAAGATACACAGAGGGACTGGAGCGGGAAGAGATACATAGGGGCTGAGGGGGAGGAAAGAGGG